AAATTTGGTGCTGCTGTATCAATGTTGTTTTGTAAGAGGAGAACGAAATGAGATGCAATCTTCAAGTTGTAGCTGTGTTTCTGTTTATAAAGAACGTGAGAGGTATTTTTGCCTGAAAGAATTATAGAATCGTTAAGAAAATTATTTAGAAAATGGAGGTGACATTTAAAGATTTAATGCGACAATTTAGAGATAAGAGACAATAACATAGGTAACCAGGATTTTATTGCCGTTTGCGTCTGCAAATCTTAGTGGTGGGTTTTGGGGGGTTTTTTGTGGGTTTTTTTGGTGCATTTTGTCATGAGATACCAGATGTGCGGGCCCAATTTTCAAAATGGTCATCTCCTGTAATTTCTGTTAAATCTGCCTTGACCTTAAACTAACACCATTGGAAATGAAGCAGATGTTTTTTGTAGTGGTCCTTTGAGCGACTGCTGAAGTCAGGTTTCCCACACTGAAGTACAGGGAACAAAGTATGAAATCTGTTTTCTGGCTCTGTTGGAAAGCAGTCCTTTTACCTCCCTCGTGCTGAACACCTGTTGTTACACGTTTGTAATTGAGCTAACCTATCAGTTAGTAGTTGCAGGCTCTCTGGGGCTCAGTGTGAACTCTTCTGCTGCACCCTCGTTTTCAGTCTGTAAGAATATTTTATCAGAAGAAGAAACAATGACGTTGAGTCTGTAAGAGTTGCATCTAATCAAACGTATAGCTAACGGCAGGCGTAAGAAAAAGACACTTAAACAGTAGCTAAACAAGCTAAGATATGTTGGACCGCAATAAGGGTGCGCAGACTGAAATAAGATGCAACTTCATGGAAGGCGGAGAAACTATTAGTTTAGTTATCCAGTATTGCAAATACACTCTCACTTTTGCCCAACTAGAGTTTGTAAAGCACGTTGGTGTGTTAAAACAACTTAAAAGCGGCTCGTATACCTCCGAGGCGTTACAGTCAAAAAATATTTTGAAATGTTAAATTATCTACTCTAGTTTCACTGCTGATACATTTTATCGTGTAGCTCAGATGCCATTATTGAATTTTTAAACTAACGATAATTTGATTTTAAGTTCTTGTTGTGAAAAAAAAAAAAAATCTTGTGAAAAAAAGTTCTTTTTGCTTTCCTAATCTGAAAGGCTTTGGCTTTGCCAAAATAAATCAAAAAAGCTGAACTTTGGTGGAGAGCAGAAGCAGTACCGGAGAACTGCTGACAGTGCAGTGAAATAGCCAGAACAAATGGTAGGCAAAAACTTACATTTTTTTGTTAAATCCAAAATTTGAAGCCATTAAGCAGTTGACTGAAAGCCTATGCCTTAATAGCACACTGATGTTCTCAGTTGTATTAATACAAATTGAAGAAACGCCCTTTTTGGCTTTGAGCACAACTGTACTGTGGCTCTCTGGATCAGCTGGGAAGCTCTTGCTCTCTTTTTCTGCCTTTTTTTAGCAGCACTTTCTCAGGAAGACATCCTTGTTTATGCCAGATGGTTTTCTACACACCACGTTTTACGAGATAGAAATGCCACTTTTTGAAATGGGCTTTGGGACAAGTTTAATGTAAGTTTTATTTGGTTTAATTTATATCTAACTTTTTACAAATCTTTCATTTGCTCTTTGTCCTGCTTTAATGACTACTGTTGCCGTTAAAGGTAATTTCTAGAAGCAAATAAAATCGTTGTCTTCAGAAAACATTAGATGTAGTGGACTGAAAATTAGTAATAACATGGCACGGATAAACCTGGGTTTTGAAGCATCAAGCCTATTTTTTTCCCCACAAATATTTCAGCGAGTCAGTAACTTATTAAGAGTATTTTGTGGATTTTTAGATACTGCGTCTCGTCTTCTGAAAAGTTTTACTGACCGATAGGAAACGATGCTTGGTAGCTGTTCTCTGCTGCATTTTCAGTTGCATTGCGCAAAACATTCAAACTTCCTTGTGGGTACTTTCCTCAGATTTGTTATATAATTTCAGGGTATTTACAGAGTCATGTAAGCATTTGCAGCAGACCTGTAATGTAGAGTTAATACAGAAATGTTGTACTTTCTGTGGAATTGGTGGGTATGTACTGCCAATTAGATGAATAATTTCCCATATGCGTTATTGACTGGGTGATTTCCTGCCAAATAAGCAATAGCTTTCTCACAACCCTTTTTTTCTTGCTAAATCAGCACCGTGCCACAGTTCCTCCAGATCTTCATACCACTGTTTCACTGCATTTTTTTCCTGGTTTATATTGAAATTTTATGTACTTGTAGTATGCTAAAGCTAGTGGTCTTACACAGAAATGAGTCCAGAATAATTCTGCTAAATTTGGTTAATTTTCCATAGCTTTACAGGTGACAGAAAGCTTAGTTTGGCGCTAGTTGTCTGATTCTCTCAATGGCCCTTTGCAAGCTGGGTTACTCTTACTCCATGTAGCATCAGAAACTAGCAGCTGCATTGTTACAGATGGTTTGTAAATTTTCCCCTTTCCCCCCCTTCTCCCCCCTTTCCCCCCCTT